AAGCACAGAGTCGCCAAAAGAGTTATTATGATGCGAAGCATCGACCCCTTGAATTTTCAGAAGGGGATCATGTATTTATCCGTTTGTCTCCGACTACGGGTGTTGGGCGTGCTCTAGGAGTGAGGAAGTTGAGTCCTAGGTTCATTGGGCCCTACCAGATTATGAAAAGGGTCGGACCTGTGGCTTATCAGCTTGCCTTACCTCCACATCTGTCAAATTTGCATAGTGTTTTTCACATCAGTCAACTTCGAAAATACGTGCCGGATGAATCCCACATTGTACAGCCGGACAATATCGAAGTAAGAAAAGACTTGAAGTTTGTTGTGGGACCATTTAAGGTTCTAGCACGTGATGAAAAAGTGTTGAGAAACAGGACTATTCCCATGATCAAGGTACAATGGGAAGGATTGACTCCTGAGGACGCCACTTGGGAGCGGGAGAATGAAATTCTCCAGCGATATCCTGAGTTTGATGTCAGGTATATGTATATTTGATATTTGATTTTGTGGGCAAAATCCTTAAAATGTGGGGTGAATATAATGACCCTAACTGGTAAATCTTAGTTAGAGATTTAATTTAAGGATTTAAATGCCATAATTAGATTCAGTGAGCGATTTCGAGTATTTTGGCTGTAATCATGACTATGTTATGAACAGTGCGTTCTGCCGGAGAATTTACAGTTTTGTGAATTAACCGGTAGAGCTTAAAATGAGCAAAATAATTTTAGGAACATAATTTGAAAATTCTGATGACAAATATGAGTTCAGAACGAAAAATTGTATAGTCTGGCACTTTCCGTGAAAATCTCGTGAATAGTGTTTCTACCGGGTATTTTGTACTGCTGTTTAAGCAACCGGTAGAGTCCAGAAATAAATAATTGATGAAATAAGAATAAGAAAGTCCAATATATGCCAAGCAAGTCAATATAGGCCCAAGAAAATGATAAGTTGATAAGTGTTAAGTTTTAAAAGTAAATAAAGTACAATTAGTGATTCACAGTGCATTTCGTCAAAAACGGTGCAAAAACCATACTGTGAATTATGAATATTGTTTTGTAACAGATAAAAATTAATGTAAATGATTTTAGAAAAATAAAAATATGTTCGTAGTTTTAAGTTAGTTCCGGGTCAATTTAAGTTAAAATACGCGATAGAAAAACATCTGTTAAAAAAGGCCACATGTGCTAGCCTTATAAGTGACTTAGTCTCATTATCCCAAATCAGTTTCTCTCTCCTCTCACCCTCTCAAAACCGAGCTGCTCCATTGGAGAAGGGGGGGTAGGGTTTTGAATTTCTTCTCCTTGATTCTCCATCATTTCTACTCCAAATTCAAAGACCCACCACATGAAATTGCTTGTAAAACACCCAATGAACCCATTCCAACCATCAATTTGAGGTTTTGTTGAGTGTGTGAAGAGTTATTCCTCCTCTCATTTTCGAGTTACTATTCATTGGAGGAGAAAAGGTGAGTTTTTGGATGGAGCTTGGCTTGGAGATTGCTCTCTAGGCTTTGTACAAGTGTTTAGAGGTAAGAAACCTCTATTTCCATGATATTATTTTGATGATTTAAGTTATGAAATTGATGAGCATATTTTGTTGGGAAATAATTGATGTTAGAATGTGAAATTTATGATGGATTATTGTTGTTTAGGAAGTTATAGTGTTGAGTAAGCATCCACATGTGATATAAAAATTTAAAAGTCCTATTGCATCTTCCTCCTAGGTTTCGGCCATCATGGAGTGAGTAGGAGTTATTGTGGAAAAAATTATATTATGTATTGTGAAGGTATAGTGTGTTGGAAATGAGTGAAAATGGATGAGTTAGTAAGAATGCCTAAGTAAAAAGGACTTGGTGTCTAAACTCAAAATAGGAATTTAGTGGAAGCATTCCTAGGTGTTTGCAAGTTGTAATGAAGTAACGAAAATGCATTGTAAAAGAGAAGGATCTTTGGAAATTCCCCTTGTAGGATTCGACCTATAGGGTATTTAGGGATATATTTTGTACATTTTATTTTAAATAAAATGTGTTGTAATAAATTGTATAAAGGTGATGAGTTTTGAAGAAAAATAGCATGATTTATGTTGAAAATTCCTAAGGGAATGGTTGATTAAATTAAAGAACACCAACGGTTATAAAGAGGTCTAGACTTGTGTATTGGCATAGGATTGGCAAAAATGCAAAGAAAGGAAAATAAGCGATAAAATGTATGCTTATGAAATAATTATGGTATTGCATCATTTTATTGATGCATTGTAAATTATTCTCTAGGTGTGCCTAGGGATTGAGAAGGATCGGAAATCTCTTGAAGCGATAAAAGTAACTTGTTCCACAAGTAAGCGTATTGGTAAAGCTTCAAGAGGTAAGCTCTATGTTTAAGGAGTCTTTTCCTGCTCGAGTGCTCCACCATGGTTAGTGAACTATGGTTGGACTGTATGACTGTGATTTAGATGCTTTGTATAGATGCATTCATATAGAGTTATTTGATAACATGATATGTTTTGCTCTGATATGACTTCTGTAATTTGATTTCTGTAACAATCTCTGGCCATTGATTGTATAGTACCCGGACGTTCGCTTTGGGGTCCTCCCTCGGGACAGATGGTGTACTCCTCTGATATGTCTGGTTCCGCTTTGGGGTCCTCCCTCGGGAACACGTGCGTTGATTTCCGCTTGGGGTCCTCCCTTGGGAATGACGGCGCACATCTCTGATATGATATGGATATATGCTCTGTTCTGTTATGATATCTGTTATATGTTGTATTTGTATACTCTGTATCTGACTTTCATGCAGGAGTGAGCCAGGGGTATGAAGAATTCTCTATAAACCTGGAGCTTATTGAGATTTGTAATCTCACCCCTATTTGGGGACACATTTTCAGGTGCCCAGATTTCCGGTGAGTCCTCACTAGGCAGGGACACGACACGTGGCTGAGGCAGTTGACAGACCGGATTTTGAGTGGCTGTAGGCTACTACCTTTTTGGGGTGTTTGATGTATTTTAGTATTTTCGCATTTGATGGATCATGATATTTATCCTTTATTTTGTATATGGCCTGTATATGTTTTGTACATGTCTGTCAGTTTGATGCATGTACATTTGAGTATTCATGAACGTTATATGATGATGTAGTATTCAGATAGGTTTATGTTTTGATGGCATGCTGTTAGATTTAGTGGCACGGAGCCATGTTATGCATGCGCCCATGTATGGGTATTTGATTATATTTGGATATCTGGTATTTCTGAATTGATATGTTGTATAAACTGTTTATCAGGAAATGCTTCTGAGTGGGATTGGAAAATCCCCAGTTGTCCGATTTATAGAGGAAACTCTGCCCGATTTTCGTTTACGCCGAGTAAGAATTAAGTTAGAAAAAGAAAAAGTTAGCTCATATTTTCGTAAGTTAAGTCTTCCGCTGTTTCTGTTTATATCATGTGTATGTTAATTGAACCGGCTCGAGACGGGGATGTTACAGGGTTCAGCTCCCTTGTTGTTGGGATGTGACCCTTATCTTGTGTACTTTGACTGTTTAGAGTTGTTGAGATACACAAGAATCTATCTCTTAGTAGATTCTTAGGTGAGTAGTTGAGATATGATATTCATATCCATAACATACACAAAGTTTGTTTTAGTCGCTCAAGTAATAAATATTTTTTGTTCAGTATGCCCCTTCATGTTTTTTTTTTAATAAACTAATTCAAATGTGAAAATTACAATTTTTGTTGAAAGATATATATAGAGGGAGGTATACTTACAACCTTATTTCCCTTACAATCTCTTACAATCATTTTTATGGTTATTGGATCAAAATCAAATCAATGGCTACAAAATAATATTAAATGAGGGTAGTTGATTTAATTTTGATCCTACAACCATAAAAGAAGTTGCAAGGGAAAAAAGATTATATATATGGAAAAAGTATTTCTACAGCCATTTTAGATAAGCTTATCTACAACTACCCTTTTTCAACTAAGTATGACCGGTCATACTTAATTATAACAATAAAGCTGTTCTTTTTTTCTCTCTCCTCAGACACTGTCGGCTGACGTGGCGGAGAGAGAAAATACAATTTTAAAGTATGACCGGTCATACTTAGTTAAAAAGGAATAGCTGTAGACAAACTTATTTAAAGTGACCATAGAAATATTTTCACACACAGACACACACACACACATATATATATATATATATATGGGCTTAACATTTCTGCAGCTGCTGTACCTACAGCAGCAAGGATCCGCGTCCGGATCCTAGGATACGGCAACGGATCCTGAGTTTTTTCAGGATCCGTTGCCGTATCCTAGGATTCGGACGTGGATCCTTGCTTGCTGTAGGTACAGCAGCTGCAGAAATCATTTTGCCTATATATATATATATATATATATATATATATATATATATATATATATATATATATATATTCGGAACTCACATGATATGTCTCACCCTTTTCTGGATCTGCCCACATGACAAGGCTGTCTTTTTTTTTTTATGTAACATTTTTATTACTGCCGGCTTGAGTTGAGTGTATAATCTTATGCCTTTTTCAAAGGAGCAATGTTATTCTCTTTCTAATTCTTGATTGATGTTACTGGGTTGGTTTGAACTTGCAATAATTTTCTGCGTTGTTTCAGAGACAAAATTTAATTTGTTACGGAAATTAGAGGAATGGCTTCATCTAAACCCATCACATTATTTTTGACACACTTTTGCAAGTCACAGAACAATAAACTGCAACATATTATATTTTTTTTTTTAAACCACACAAGTTATAGTCTATGTGCAACAATCCTTATCTTTATGCGGAAAATCTTTACATTGTTTTTGGTTGTTTAGTAAAACTGTGCAATAAACTATTGTACACCATTCCTCGTCATCATAATATAAAATGTCAAAGCATCCCATTATAATTTCTTTGGTATGAATTAGATACTTTGAGCTTATCAGTTCAATAAAAATATGAAAAGAAATTTATCAAATAGCATGTCATATCTTGGGATATAACAAACAGGTGCAAGAAGTACAAAGATGAATAGCAAGTTCTTTTGTTGCTTATTTTGGACAAAAGAAAATAAGAGACAAGTGAAACAACATTAAGCAATGCATAGGTGAGTGAGTGCATACCAAGTCCTATCTAACCTCCACCAAAATGCTATATCTTTTATCACTTCATAGAACTACAATTCTCAAGGAACAATTGGTAACTTTTTCACCAAGAGATGGACTCCATGCTCAGGCTCCAAGAGCAACGATATAGCAGGTGAATGAATGTATTTAGGAGAGAGGGTGAAAGAGAATTTAGACAAAATGAGAGCTATCAGCATCTTAAGTTCAGCCATAGCCAAGTTCTGTCCAAGACACACTCGTGGGCCAGCACCAAAGGGCATATACAAGTGTGGCAGGTTACAAGCACCCATTGTTCCATTGGCAAACCTTTCTGGGTTGAATTTGTAGGCATCAGCTCCCCATACATCTGGATTTGTATGTAAAGTTAACACCATTGTCCAAAGGTTAACGCCCTTGGGGACATCAATGTCCCCAAATTTCATGTCCTTGAAGGCTTCCCTTGACATCACAGATACAGGGGGATAAAGCCGCAATGATTCATGAATAACCATGGTCAGCTGCCACAACAAGTGCAAGTTATGGTTTTTGGTTGTCAGAAATATAATATAAAATTATTCATATATTTTTATCTAACAATTTAAGTTTTTGGGAGAGTCTGTTCGCGACATAGTTATCTAAAGCTCTATGATTGTCCCCGTTATTTTTCTAATAAAAAGATGAATTTAGCATAAGATAGGTAAACCTGCTTTTCAGAAATGGAATTTATAAAAACGTGGACAGAATTGATCATAAACAGTTTTTTGGTCAATTCATGTGTATGATCCACTCAATTATTTTAAATTCTTGGTGACAAAATGACACTTAACATGAAACCAACCTGAAGTCACACCAAGATGGGTCCAATTTCATCTTCATTTCCAAAAGTCTCAACACCCCACTATAAGAGAAAATGACTTATGTTGACTTAAGGACCATGCCATGCCATCGATTATAAAGTCTAAATGGATTTTGAGTGGGGGAATATGTTTTAAATATAACCTTTTGAGTTCCTAACAAAAAATACAGTCTTCACTTCCGTTCCTTACAAAAAAGAAGAAGCCATATTAATCCTTTTTTAGGGACTAAATTGGGTCTTCGTCAAATTTCTGAGCAACAACATTTTTAAAAAACTAGAATTGTAAAGGGATCAAAAATTGATTTTTTTTTCTGTAAGAGACGAAAGTGGAGACTATTTTTTTATTAGGGACACAAAGGAGCTTTACTCTATAATATAAAACCATATAACAAGTTAAACTTTTGGGAGAATTGGTTCTTGACGGTAGTATTTTGCAATTTATTCTCAAATGCCTTCAAAAAACAGTATACACTGTAATTGGCTGCCTAATGATCCTTACCTGCTTCATCTTATAAAGCATATCAGAATCTGGTATTCTACCCTTGCAAATTTCTAGTACCTCAGCACGAACACGATCCTGCCAATTTTGATTTGAGGCCAACAACATAAGGCACCATGTAGCAGAAACTGCAGTTGTCTCATAGCCTGCCAAGTATATATTCTTGCAGTTATCAACAATAAAGCGGTCACTGGCCTCTTGAGTGAGATTACTTTTATTAGCACCTTCAAGAACCATTTGCAGCAGGTCCTTTTCAAAAGTAGTGTCCTTTCTTTCCTTAACCCCTTGGAGTATCAAATTTCTCACCTCCTTTTCTAATGACCATGCTTTTCTATTGCTCTTTGTTGGCAGGTATCTGTAACATGTAGAAGTGAATCAATCATTAATTCAATAATGAAAAGGACTAGTTATTTTGATGCTGTGAACTTTACAAAAGGCAAAAACTCTTTTGTACCTCATGCCAGGGACCACCCTTTTGGACATATTTTTCCATGACATGAGCTCTAGGAGAGCTCCAAGTTTCAAGAAAATTTCTTCCCCCTTTGAATAATTGCTTCCAAAGCATGCCCTTGCAATAACATTCCCAGAGAAACTTCTCATGTATTCATCAATTTTTATATCGGCAACTCCACCTTCTGCCTCTATTCTACTACTCCACAAGTTTAGCAGAGACATAGAAGACTCACTAATTATATTCATCATTCCCTTTGGATGACATAAGGAAAAACTCATTGTAAGTTAAGAGGCCAATATAAATTTCAACATGGAGCAAGCTTAGAACATTATGTACCTTAACCTTGTCCATGTATAGTTCTGGAGCTAGGATCTTTCTTTGATGGGCCCATATAGTTCCATTTGAAGTTAAAACGCCCTGACCCAGCATAGGCCCTAGTTGTTTCTGCTGATATGAAGGCTTCCCCAAGTCCAAGGATGTGCATGTGTTGATATCTCTCACTATGTCAGGTTGGTTCACACACAATATTTGTATGTTTCCAAGAGAAAACATAAATACTTGACCTGTATGTATACACAAAATATTAGAAGCATGGTCATTCTCAAACAACAACCAAGCCACATCCTAATAGGTGAGTCAGCTACATGGATGAATCACACCATTGGGCATGGTTCTCAAATCAGTCAAAATCTTCTACATCAGTGTTGAAATTAGTCCTCATACTAGCAAAAATATAATTCTTATCTAACTTACACTTAAAATTATAAGTATTTTATTTCTACTAGTGCCCCACCAATTTGAAGTTCTAAAATGATGCAGAAAATTATATGGTGAAAGAAACATACCATATTGCTCCCTCCATTTCTCAAATAGGGGGAGAACATAAGCAGCACAGTTGTGAGAGGAATTGGATTCAATAGAAGAATTATTTGCAGTGATACGTTGAGCTTTCTTTATCTCCCTAATATTTCCAAGTAGTATAGTTGGAGGTGGACCATTGATACCTTGCTTCCTTAGCTTAGAGCGAAGCTTATTTGGCTTCTCCACCAAGACATTATACAAATGAAACAACAACACAACAAAACCCAGAAACACAATGGACATGAAAAACTGGGAATCAAATTGGAGCTGCATGGCCAAATAACACCACCTTATCTAATGATTTGGGGTTTGAAGGGAATTGCATATAGCATTCTCCAACTTTTGATAACTTTATTATTTATCTATAGTAATACTTGAAGTAGTTATATTGGAATCTGCTTAGCTAAATTAAATAAATGAAATTAAAAAAAAGAGAGAGTTGACACTTGAATGCGCAAATTTATAATATTATCTTTCAATTCATGCTATGGATACATTATTGCTAGTTTGAAAAAGTAAAAATTGGGCCAAGGGAACCATGCCACTTGTTGTGTGGAGATTCTCTCGTCATTAAATTGCATGTGACTAGTGAGAGTAACCAAACTGCTACGCACAAGGAAAATTACTTAAAAATAAGTGCTTATTATACCCCACGACCACTAGTATGATAAATTATACTTTTCTTAATTATGCTTTGTACATTATTCAAATGGTTACGGAACTAGAGAGATTAACATGAATAGGGGAAATCAAATCCTAATAAATTTCATTATATTAAATATATGGTTTTTGAAACTAAATAATAGAAATCCATAAAATTTTAAAATAAATAAATAAATTAGTTCTTAATTTTTTACATTCCAAACACTCAACCATTATATATATTGGTTGGCCTGCAATATGGAAAAACAAGTTTAGCGTAGTTAAGCTGCACTTCAAATTAGTAACCATTTCTTCTTTTCCAAGTATTTCCAAGTATATTTTATTTTGTATTTGACTTGGATAGATTCTTAATTGCGTCTACTCATGTGCAACTATTCGTACGATCTGGGAAGTAGTCAAATAAATCCCATAAATGGATACCAAAAAATAAAATAAAAATAAATCCCCTAAATGGCGTGCTGCGTGAGTCGTGACTGATTGTAATGCCTCTTACCATAAATAGTTTGTCATGGGTCAACTGAGAGATTTCCTCCCTTCAGTGGAATAAATGGCGTGATATTTACCAAATAAATAAATAAATGGCGTGACAGATTATAATATTTTTCTCTCTCTGTAAAATAGTATTTTTTTAATAAAATTATATCTTATGATGTTTTTAATAAAATAATATTTTGTTACCTTTTAATAAATAAAATCTTATTATTTTTAATTTTTTTACAATATTTTCTCTTCTTACTTCGCAAACACATTTTTTCTTAGCCTTAAATTTTTTATCACCACCGCTCTTGTCTCTTTCATCAAATTTTGCTACTCTTTCCCTCCCTTCTCAACTTCTCATATCTTTTAAATAATTCATTACTCATCATTGACTCTCAAGACTTTCCCAGTAAATTCTTATTTTTTTTTTACTTTTTACTCTTTTTTTGTCTCAATGACAAAATGGCCTTTTTTTCTGAAATTTTCATTAAAAAAAAATATTATTTGACTTATGGTGTTATATATTTGCATCTACATATCTTGTTCTTGTTTGTTGGACATATTTTTATGTGTGTGATTTATTTTTTATTTGTTTCTCTCTATTTATTTAATTATTTTTTCTTGGAAAATTCTCATATAAGTTGATTGGTGGGTATCTTCAAAGCTGATAGTAAGTGCACATTCTCCATATTTTTTGTTTTATAATAAAATTTGATTTGATTGATTTTTTTTTCCCAACAACGTGGTTAAATTGTCAATATTCTAGGTTGTGTTTAGCTACTTTATAAAATAATTATAATCTATAATTCACAGAGTGAAATATATTATTTTTGAAGGCTTGGTGCGTTTAATAGGAAAACCAAGTCTTCTATTTTTTAAAAACAAATCAGACCAAGCTTATAATTTGCTTTGTATCAAGCTAACAAGACAACTCAAACTTATAATTTGGCTTCTATCAGGCTAATAAGCCAAGCTTGAAATAATTTGCATTGGCCTAGCTCATTTAGGCTAAAGCATGACTTTCACTGGGATCTCTTTGTTAACCTTTATTTTAGCTACGAGCATCTCCTATTAGTTATTGTCTATGAAAAACACTATGTTTCTCATCTTTTTCCCGTTTCGGGATTCTACCGGCTGCTGCTACAACAATACAAAATACCCGGCAGAAGTGACTTTTCAAAAATACCCCAATATGGGTATCAATCTTCATCAAATCATATCCCAACCTCATTCATGATGTTTATATCATTAGATTAGCTCTCTAACTATAATTTGCTAGATTGAAGCTATTCTACAGACTCATACTGCGTCAGCAGTCAAAAACAACAGGTTAAAACTCAACTGTTCAAAATACCCTCAATATAGATATCAAACTTCATCAAATCTTATGCTTACATCATTTATGATATTCATATCATTAAGATAGCTCTCTAACTTAAATTCACTATATTGGAGCTATTCTATAGTCTATTACTGCGTCAGCAGTCAAACACAGCAGATGAAAATTCACCTGACTGGAATACCCTCAATAGGGTATCCAAATTCTTAGAATTTCATTCTCTCCATTCACTTATATGGACTTCACTTACCCCGTTACCAACCAATATGAGACTTCATCACACTTGAATATGCTCCTCTTCAACCGAGTATCTCAGGCTCAAATTCTCAACCTGCCTTTGATACCACTATCAGGCGGGTCAGAGGAAGCCCATGGTGGGGGACCACCACCAATGAGTTAAGCTAGACCAACCATACTAAGTGGATCCAACATCATGTCTTAACCCAAAATCTTAAGACTATGGGTGAGGATACATTAATGAGTTTTATATCTCTCTAACACATCCCCTCACACAAGAGCCTTTTGTGCTTTAAGTATGGATATTACACAGGTCCATTTTCTGTTTACCTTATGCTTACTTAATTCCAACGCAAAGTGGAGGGAAATGAAGATTGAACTCGTGATCATTTGGTCACTCTAACTCTGAAACCATAAATATAATCAGTTTAACACAAAATCTTAAGGCATTGGGTGAGGATATATTAATGGTTTTATTTTTCTTTAACACACCCTCTCGTACAAGAGCCCTTTGGACTTGAAGCATGGATATTGCACATGCCCAAAATTTGGTTTACCTTATACTGACTTAATCTCTTTGAGGCTCTGAGATCATGTAAAGAACCATTCAATCCAAAAGCTTAAGCTATTGGATGAAGATATATTAATGGTTTTAAATTTCTTTAACAAACTCATCCTAGAGCTTTGATCTATACCACTTCCTCTAAGAATATCCATGTAACGCCCGACCACTTGCAAGAATCAATGACTGTCCCCACACACTAACACGAGACTTTTCAGTGTGCTTTGTCCTCACTCGCACACTTCCCGGGAAAACTTCCCAGGAGGTCACCCATCCCAGAATTGCTCCAAGTCAAGCACGCTTAACTGTGGAGTTCTTCCGATCCGGGCTACCGAAAAGTAGATGCATCTTGTTAGTATAGGTAGTACCAATTAATTCTTATAAGTCATTCCTAACTGTACCGTCCCATACCAGCACAGTCTCTAGAATCCCTCTCTTTCGGGTGTTGATTCGATTCATTCATGAACCCCCAAGCGGTAAGATTTGGCATGAGCCGCTCATTGTCCGTGCCCTTTCGCACCGGCGATCACTCCCTGCCCTTGCCAACTCTTGGGATGTTACATGCCCACCAGCTTCCGCCTGGTTCGTCCTCGAACCACACCGTACTGGAAGAGAGGCCCTGCTCTGATACCACTTGTAACGCCTGACCACTTGCAAGAATCAATGACTGTCCCCACACACTAACACGAGACTTTTCAGTATGCTTTGTCCTCACTCGCACACTTCCCGGGAAAACTTCCCAGGAGGTCACCCATCCCAGAATTGCTCCAAGTCAAGCACGCTTAACTGTGGAGTTCTTCCGATCCGGGCTACCGAAAAGTAGATGCATCTTGTTAGTATAGGTAGTACCAATTAATTCTTATAAGTCATTCCTAACTGTACCGTCCCATACCAGCACAGTCTCTAGAATCCCTCTCTTTCGGGTGTTGATTCGATTCATTCATGAACCCCCAAGCGGTAAGATTTGGCATGAGCCGCTCATTGTCCGTGCCCTTTCGCACCGGCGATCACTCCCTGCCCTTGCCAACTCTTGGGATGTTACAATCCACGTAGCGAGATACTTCACCCATCAAGAGATACAAATCTAGCCGCACTACACAACAACTCAAAATCCCACTAAAAAGTGCAATGTTATTGGATTGCTTGTGGAAATGAAGTGTTATTTGAGATTGCATAGATCTGTCTGTTTGGATGAGATCCCTAAATATCAAATCTTCAAGTCGAGCAAGGAAGCTTGACACTTTAAAGTTGGCCTACTATTAATAGGATGACTCAATGCAAACAAAGACACAAAAAAATGCAAAGAGTCTGCGATGAAGAGAAGTTGAAAGACACTAAATAATTTTAACATGTAAAATCTCCCATAATGCACATAAGCAAAGATCACGAGACCTAATCTAACAAAAAACAACCACTATGAGAATAATGACATTACAAAAGTTTATTCCCTAATGAACACCTAAGGTACACACAATTTCCTCACCTTAGAGGATGGAATACACTCAATTCTTCTTTGAAGAGGTTACAGATACAAACTTCTCTATAATTCTAATAATCTAGTTTAGCTAACCTTTTAGAAATGTATTTAATCTCATTTTATAGATTGAGAAAACCTCTTTGTCTTTTTCTGGAATCTGTTTTAATAAATGAAGTGTTGCATTTATTGAGGTAGTTCAGATATTGAGTCTTGAGTCATAAATGCTCAGCTTGCTTAACCATCAAAGTATTAAATGAAGAATATACCCCAATAAGATCTACAAGTAAATCTAATGGTGTGGAAAGGGGTATGACTTTTTGTGTGTTGTATATCTAGAATAAGGGGGGTGTCTTGGATTGAGATTTCAAAGGATTTTAATGGATTATTTTTGGACAAAAAAATCCATCGGTATTCAATTAGGATTTTAAAGGATTGGAAAAAAAGTCATGTGGTATTCGATTAGGATTCTAAAAGATTGTTTTAGAGTCTATCCAAATTCGTTGGTATTCAATCAAGATTTTAAATAAATGAAAAAAAATCTTGTGGTATTCAAAAATCTGACGATTCTAATGGATTTTCTATTAGTGTGAATTTCGTGAGACTTTTTAGAGAGAAATATAAAGAGGATGCCTCTCTCACAATCTCATCCTAACCCCTAGGATTTCTTGAGATTTCTTTATTGCAGTGTCTTCTTCTTTCTTTGACGGGTTGACCCGCACGAAATCGGGTTTCGCCATGAGAGCTTTGTTAAAGCTTAAAAACAGTAGATTTTTGAGTGATTTTTATCACAAAATAACCCAGAAAAAACAAACCAACAAGATTTTAATCTATTCCATCTCACAAGCAACAGATTTTTGAGCGATTTTTTGGAAGTTTAAAAAATAAATTTTCAAACTATTGGTCGCGATTTTTCTTGGCACAAAAATGTGTGATTTTTGTATTTAAAAACACATAAAATAGTGGGAAAACAACAGAGCACAAAAACCTCAAACAAATTTTCATTTTACATCAATAAAACAAGATCGATTTAAAGAAAGATTGAAACTTTCATAATATGAGCTCCATGTTTCATAACAATACATTCATTAACGAAATTCCTTCGCTATAGAAAATGATTTCAAATGATTTTTTGTATTAATAGATCACTAAAAAATTATTTTTCAAAAGTCAAAGCAATTTAAGGTTTCAATGTATTGATTGAAAATAACTTGAGAAATTTTCTAAATTTTCATGCAATAAAACCTAGAAATTAAGATTCGAAATTTTCTTGAAATACTCAATGAAAACATGCATATGATATATGGTTAGAAAACTCTCATCACGTAGAACAAAAACACTAAGGTTTACAAGATCAATTGAAAAAAAATTTAAATGAAATTTTATCATGAATTTTACTGATTTAGAAAATTATATTAGGTTTTACTTTTTTTTATTAATATCATTGCCTTTCTTTGTTATTTTTTATTGACTCTTATAATTTTGAATGTTTGTTAAAAATTCACACGGTTTTTTAAAATCTTATAATACAAGGTCTTCCAATTTCCCATCTGGTTCTGGTCTGGGGATCACTTCTTCCCTCATATCCAACTCAACCACATTGACTGGTTTACTTGAATGATGAGGGACTGCCTTTTTGCCGGCTTTGTTCCCCGGACGAATCCGGGGTGGACTTAAGTGTCCACCTTCATTTCCTTTGACGACTTCAAAGTAACACTCTCTTGATTCTTTTTAATCTCCATGAATGGTAATGACTTCATTCTTGTTGCTTACCATCTTTATTTTTTGATGCTTCGTGGAGACCAGCATGTCCCATTTATGTAGGGTTGGTCTCCCAAGTATAATGTTATATGGAGAGGGGAAGTCGGCCACAATGAACCTTACGCGTTCTGACTTGAATGCCTTTTTTGTTTCCAAGGTTAACCTGAGGTTTATGTAGTGTAGCCTTTAGGAGGTGTGTTTTCTCCATTGAAAGCTATCAAGTTTATCTTACAAGGTTTAAGATCTTCTATCTTAAGGTTCATCTTTTTGAAGGCTTCTTATAATATGATCTCGGCATTGCTACCCGCATCAATGAAGATTTTTTTAACCCGACAATTAATCAGGATTCCAGTGATAACTAGACCATCAACGTGCCCTGGCAAGACCCCTTGCATATTCTCCCTTGTGAAGTAGAGTAAAGGAGGATCTGGCTTACTGGGATCCTCTTTGAATTTTGGACGATCTCTGATTGAGAGTACATCTCTGAGATATTTTCGTCTGGCACTTACTATGCCTCCCCCTCCTCCAAGGGCTTCATTGATCACATTGCAGTTAAACTCGGCTTCTAGGAATTCGTCGTTGTTGGAATCGTTTCTTGTGTTTCTATCTTCTTTCTTTTTCTTTTTAAGTGTCGGGATCTTGCTTTTATTCCTGTTGCCGGGTTTCCTCTTGTTACTTGTTGATCTTTGCGTCTTTATGACATATTGGCACAGCTTTCTTTCTATGACAAACTTTTCAACAGCATCTCTGAGATCCCAACATTGATCAGTGGTATGCCCTGGTCCATTATGGAAAGCACATAATTTGAACTTGTCTAAGCCTCCTCTGTCAAATATGGGCTGGGGTCTATATGCTTTCTTCATGTTTGTCATTGCCACTTCCATCCAAATTTGAGAGTGTGACGCATTTAGCAGTGTGTATTTTCATATCTCTCAACCCGGTCTCTATCATCTGGGATTCTCGCACGAGAATCCTTCTTTTTATTGCCAACTTGTTCTTTTTCTCTCAGGGCTAGGCTTCTCCTTCTCGGACTTACCCTTTTGTTCTCCTCGCCCTGTGCATTTGCTCTCTCCATTTGTTCGAGTTCCAGGTACTTCTTTGACCGGGTTCTGAACTCCTCCAACGTCCTCACAGGATCTTTATAAACTGATTTTGCCAGCCTAGATGATCCGTCCAGCCTGGCTACAATAAGGTGGACATGGACATTTTCTTGCAAACCCGGTAGTTGCAAGGCCGCATCTTTAAATCAGTTCAGATACCTCTGGAGAGTATCTCCGGGTTGTTGTCGTATCTTTCTAAGTGCGAACTAGGACTTTGGGTGTTTTTTGCTTGTTGCAAAATTCAGCAGAAACTTCTCTCCGAATTCTTCAAAGGACCCAATGGAGTTAGCAGGCAAGGTGGAAAACCATGCCTGCGCAGCCCCAGTTAAAGTTATGGCAAATATCCGGGATATGATTGGTTCATCAATTCCTCGGATATACATGTTTGTGTCGAACACATCTATATGGAGTTGTGGGTCCTTACTTCCATCATATTTCGACAAGTGTGTCGAATCAAAATTCTCTGGGAACGGAGCATTCAGTATTTCACCAGTAAAGAGGTTGTTATTGTAATGCCCCATACTGTACTTCCTCTGTAAGCGCCGGGTTCCACGCGTGTAACATCCCAAGCTCTGACGAGGGTGAGGAGTGATCGCCGGTGCACAAGGGCACAGACAAGGAGCGGCTCCTAGCAGGCTTCCAGCGGCGGGGTACATGAATGAATCGAATCAACACCCGAAAGAGAGGAATTCCAGAGACTGTGCTGGTATGGGACAATATAGTTGGCAATAACTTATAAGAATTAATTGGTACTACCTATACTAACAAGATGCATCTACTTTTCGGTAGCACGAAACGGAAGAACTTCACTGTTAAACGTGCTTGACTTGCAGTAATTCTGGGATGAGTGACCTCCTGAGTAGTTTTCTTGGGAAGTGTGCGAGTGAGGACAAAGCACGCTGAAAAGTCTCGTGTTAGTGTGTAGGGATAGTCGTTGATCCTTGCAAGTTGCCAGGCGTTACAATGCGTCCTCTGACGGGTTGGGCATCTTGGTTAAGATGTGTCTCATACCTGTTTCTCTGCATATTTGCTTCTATTGAAGCATTCTGGACCAGAGGTTGCAAGTTTGCATTCTGGTTGTTCATTCCCTGGCCTCCCGGGTTTGGGCCCACAGTAGTTACAGGATTTTGCCTTCCCTGGTTTTCAGCTTCTGGAATCCGGATTTGATCATCCGGGTTGCGATCCCCATCGCGGCTATTATCATCTCGGCCTTGGACCCTTTATGACCCCGGTCCTCTCAGCCCCAACAATCGTTGCTCCAAATCTTGCATCTTTCTCGCGTGTTCCTCCTGAATTTTCCTGAAATCTGCTTGCCGTTGGAGGTTATTGCGATTTTCCATATCTTCCATCCGTCGCAAAATTACAGCAAACGTGTTTTGAGCAAGGCGGGAATCAGGATCAGCAGGTTGTGCAACACGGGCAGCAATGTCCACAGGGTTTTGAGGAGGAGGGTTATTCGGAGCCGGATCTGCAACTAGGTTGCGGGTGGCTGGCGTAGAGGTTGTGTCTGATACATCATCGCTGACATGGACCGCATCATAGTCCACCTCATTTTCCGGTTGGTGTTGAGGTTGATTCACCTTTTCCAGAACGGGATCCAGCGGCTGATTTGGAGGCTACGGCTGCTAGCTATTGCTCCTTGTACGAACTGCCATCTCTAATCCGAATTGTGGAAATATCAAATTTGCCGATTCCGCACAGACGGCTCCAGTGTTCTGTCTTGGAGATAGAGATGTCTAGCCCAATGGATTAGTACGTTGATCTTGGATCTAGTGCCCTTTCTAAGGTATCTATAGAGGAGATACCCTTGAGTCAAGCATCTCACTGTGCACATTAAGACAATAACAACTTTGCCAAAGGGGGTGTGTGTGTGCGCACAGTGATAGCATAACAGTAAGAGAGAGAGCGTAACATACCTATAGGTTTTACCTCTTATTTATAGAGTTTACCTGTGGGTAGTAGATTGTGAATTTTTAGTGCATCTGATGAGGGCCCAGGCCCTTTCGCCATGCTATCGTATTAGGATTGATATCCTTGATGGATATCCTTACATAGTTATACTTGATTTAGATCTTAGATTGTCCCTTGTTAGGTCTGTCAATCAATGTGCTTCTTATATGGGTCCATAACAGTTACTATGTTGGGTATACCATGAAACAAACTTGCATACATTAAATTACACAATTATTAATCACTCAATATTCAAGTTTGTCTAATATACTCCTAGCTAAAATACAAATCATACCCCTTGGCTAATTTTCATTTTTCAGGTTTAGTACACAAAGTTTGTTTTAGTTACTCAACTAATCAATATTTTTGATGCCCTTCATGTTATTTGTTTTAATAAACAAACTCAAATGTAAAAATTGCAAATTTTGTTAAAAGATATATATTAGTTTTTGGAACTTTCTTTTTCATATAATCAGAGATATTTTTATAAGAAGAGAAACATTAGCACAACAATTGGTGATGTCGCCATTTGACTTGGTTACAGGTTTGAACCACACAACTTATAATCTATGTGCAACAATCCTTATCTTTACGCATAAAAGCTTTGCATGTTTTTTTGGTTGTTCAGTGGAAGTGCTTTCCTATTTTACACCATTACTCATTGTATTATAGAATGCCACAACATCCCATTACAATTTTTTGGGTATGAATAGGTAGTTTGGGCTTATCAATGCAATACAACTATGAAAGAAATTTCAAAAAAAGCATGTCATAAATCTGTCTTGGGATGTAACAAACAGACGCAAGAAAGCCATAATTCTGCTTTATTAAATTTCATACATCAAAATATGCTTATAAAACCAGCTTCCGATTAAGTCCTATCTAGCCTCCACCAAAATGCTATATCTTTTATTTCTTCATAGAACTACTATTCTCAAGGAAAAGTTATAGCTTTTTTACCAAGAGATAGACTCCATGCTCAGGTTCCATGAGCATTCTTATAGCAGGTGAATGAATGTATTTGGGAGAGAGGGAGAAAGAGAATTTACACAAGATGAGAGCTATCAGCATCTTAAGTTCAACCATAGCCAAGTTCTGTCCAAGACACACTCGTGGGCCAACCCCAAAAGGCATATACACGTATGGCAGTTTACAAGCACCTATGGTTCCATTGGCAAACCTTTCTGGGTTGAATTTGTAGGCATCAGCTCCCCAGACATCAGGATTTGTATGCAAAGTTACTACCATTGTCCAAAGGTTAACACCCTTGGGGACCTCAATATTCCCAAATTTCATGTCCTTGAAGGCTTGCCTTGACACCACAGCTACTGGGGGGTAAAGGCGCAATGATTCATGAATAACCATGTTCAGCTGCCACAACAAATGCAAATTATGGTTGGTGGTTGATAGAAATATATCACAAAATCACCTTAACAATTTAAACTCTTGGGAGAGTTAGTTCGTGATATAGTATCCGAGCCTCTATCACCAAATAGTCTAGAGTTTGACCCTTGCCGCTCCCATTTTTCTAATAAAAAGTTGAATTTAGCACACAATAGGTGGACTGCTGAAGTCCAAATAACTCTTGCATGATAGGACACACTAGAAATATAATATAAAACCACTTAACAACTCAAGTTTTTAGGAGTATTGGTATATGAAATGGTATTTTGAAGTTCTCAAATGTCTTCAAAAAACTGTAATAGGCTTCCTAATGATCCTTACCTGCTTCATCTTACATAGCATATCAGAATCTGGGATTCTACCCCTGCAAATTTCTTGTACCTCAGCACGAACACGATCCTGCCAATTTTGATTTGAGGCCAGCAACATGAGGCACCATGTAGCAGCAACTGCAGTTGTCTCATAGCCTGCCAAGTATATATTCTTGCAGTTATCAACAATAAAACAGTCAGTGGCCTCAAGAGTGAGATTACTCTTCTTAGCACCTTCAAGAACCATTTGTAGAAGGTCTTTTTCAAAAGTTGTTTCTTTTCTTTCCTTCACCCCTTGGAGTATCAAATTTTTCACCTCCTTTTCTAACGCCCATGCTTTCCTATTGGTCTTTGTTGGCAGGTATCTTTAACATGTACAAGTGAATCAATCATTAATTCAAAAATGAAAGGACAATAGATATTTTGGTGCTGTGAGCTCTATAAAAGGCAAAACTCTTTTTGTACCTCATGCCAGGGACTCCTTTGGACATATTTTTCCATGACAAGACCTCTTGGAGAGCTCCAAGTTTCAAGAAAATTTGTTCCCCCTTGGAATAATTGCTTCCAAAGCAAGCTCTTGAAATAACATTCCCAGAGAAACTTCTTATGTATTCATCAATTTTTATATCGGCAACTCCACCTTCTGCCTCTATTCTACTACTCCACAAGTTTAGCAGAGACATAGAAGACTGACTAATTATATTCATCATTCCCTTTGAAGGACATAAGAAAAACTCATTGTAAGTGAAGAGGCCAATATAAATATCAACATGGAGCAAGGTTAAAATATTACAGACCTTAACCTTCTCCATATATAGTTCTGGAGCTAGGATATTTCTTTGATGGGCCCATATAGTTCCATTTGAAGTTAAAACGCCCTGACCAAGCACAGGCCCTAGTTGTTTCTGCTGATATGAAGGCTTCCCCAAGTCCAAGGATGTGCATGTGGTGATATGTCTCACTATGTCAGGTTGGTTCACACACAATATTTGTATGTTTCCGAGAGAAAACATGAATACTTGACCTGCTTACACAAAAATATTAGAAGCATGGTGATTCTCAAACAACCAAGCCATATCTTAATAGATGTGTCAGCTACATGGATTAATCACACCAATGGGCATGATTCTCAAATCAGTCAAAATATATTGGCTACAGCAGCTTAGAAATTAGTCCACATGCTAGCAAAAGGTTAGAAATCGAAGTTGTTGGAGCCTACATAAAAAGAAAGCAAGATAAAATACTATAAAAATTAATTGACAAAATTGTTTGTCAAGGAAAGATGTCCTGCTTTACACGCTCTTTGAAAATACTATTATAACCCATTCCCAATTAAACCCCGGTTAATGAGGGTAGGAGTGAGGGCAATCCTTATAAGTAGTATTTCATTCTCTTTGAAAATACTATTGCAGGTAGGAAAGTAAACAAAGAGTTCCCAGGCCAGGAGGGTCAAGTTTAACAGCTTACATCACATATATTCCATTTGATGTATCTGGTATTATTATTTACCTGTGAACTAAATATCCATTTAATTGATACAGATTATCTATAACATAAAATCCCCCATGAAATTAGTAGGTGTGTGTGCAGATATACAACAGCAGGCCAGAATTAAATATCAAATACTTCTTAAAATATATACTATCACCCTTTCCATTAGAGACAAGGTCTATTTGGTGCTATAAAGGTCCCACTCTGCAGAGTCAGGGAAGGGTCTACTATAGGCACTCTTATTTTGCATTTGTAAGATGTAGATTAGCTGATTATATGAATTGAACATGTGATTTTCAGGTCTAATGGTGATGACACCAAACTTCTCATTGGAGAATAAAACCACTCCTAATTATTCTCCATTAAATCTCGACTAGCAAGAGTAAGGGTAAAAAGAATTCTTGTATGCAGTCTTACCCTTTCATATTTGCAAAGAGACTGTTTTCCGGATTCAAACCCGTTACCTTTCATTGGAGAATACTTAAAAAAAAACAATTCCTATCCAACTAACACTTATATTATACTATAAGCAGTTTATTTCTGATAGTACCCAACCCCACCAATTTGAAGTTCTAATTCTGACCCTGCATGAGGTGAAGGCATGTGGTTGTTTCTGTGGATGATGCTGAAATTGAGTTATATCATATATGGTTCATAAATTTATATGGTGAAACTGTGAAAGTAACATACCATACTGTTCCCTCCATTTCTCAAATAAGGGAAGAACAGAAGCACAGTTGTGAAAGGCAGGGGGTTCAAAAGAAGGAGACTTTGCAGTGAGAAGCTGAGATTTCTTCATGTCCCTAATATTACCAAGTAGTATAGTTGGAGGTGGACCACTGATACCTTGCTTCCTTAGTTTAGAGCGAATTCTATTTGGCTTCTCCACCAAGACAACATACAAACGAAACAACAACACAACAAAACCAAGAAACATAATGGATATGAAAAACTGGGAATCAAATTGGAACTGCATGGCCAAAGAAAAGCTTCTCTGTAGACTCAAATCACGTGCAAGCTCTAATGTGTTGGGGGGTTTGAAGGGAAATGCATATTGCATTCTCTATGCTTAGGGAACTTTATTTATATATAGTAATAATAGTATTGGTCCGTGGAGGTAGCTGGATTGGAATTGACATGCAAAAATTTGTATTATCTTCAATACGTGCTAAGGGAAATTTTTTAGAATATTCTCGTCCCACCCATTTTTTCATAGAGTCTTCCAATAAAAACCAAACACTAATGTTGATTGATGACATGGAAGAGAGACAAATATTATCTTAAATACAGATGTGAAAAGGGGAACGACAATAATACATACTAGCCAAAATGATTTCTGCAGCTGCTGTACCTACAGCAAGCAAGGATACACGTCCGAATCCTAAGATACAGCAACAGATCCTAAGTTTTTTTTTTTTTTTTTTAAAGCCGTGAAATCCACTTTTCCGTGTCAGTTGTAGATAACACTATCTACGGCCGCTACAGAAATGTTAAGCCCTACGTACTACTATTGTACTAAAAATGAGCTCGTGCCGTGGATACATTATTGCTAGTTTGAAAAAGTTAACATTTGGCCAATGGAACCATGCCCTGGCGTATGGAACTCATTTTCATCATGAAATTGCATTTGATAGTAACCAAAGTAATGTGTACGAAGAAAATTACTTAAAATATACTTAGAATTTAACTGTGGGTGATAAAATTCCATATTGGAAAAACAAAAATGGGCTAAGGTATGGGCTAAGTTGTCGAGCTCACTTATTGTAATGGAATATTATTTTTCCTATTTGATGTTAGTTCTTCTCTTACCATGGATTCTACATTATCATTGCCAATTATTGTATTCTACCCCACTAATATGAGAAATTAGGGCAGTTTATTGTTACATTAGTTTATTACAATTATCATCAGAGGCAATTCTGTTCGAGTTAGGAATATCCATGTCATGAAATTTGTTTACAAACCTAGTTTCTTCTTCTTTCTTTTTCTTTGTTTTTAAAAAAGATAAAGAATGTTTACTGATCTTCTCCCTTTCTTAATTTTGTAAAACAAGAACAATGTAATCAAAGGGTATGAGTTTTAAGTGTAGATATATCATTAATAATCTCACTATATTAGGTAAGATTTTCAAACCTAAATAATTGAAATCGGATATAGGATATTGTTATTACTAATTAATGTTACTAACAATATTACTACCAGTTTATTTCACCGTTAGATCGATTATGTTGATCCAACAGTTATATTTATTTCGTATTAAATATGAGGAATTATAATTATACAAAGGTAAAAAATAAATATAAAGTATTAAATATAGGAAAAAGAAAGAAAGTTTTTAAAAATTTAAATCATAACAGTTACATCTAGGGGTGTTCATAAACCGATCCAAACCGATTCAAACCACGGTAACCGAATCGAAAAATCGATAACCGAAAATCGATTAAAAATCGCAAATTTTAATTGGATTTGATCGATTTTTGGATGGGTTGATGAAAACCGATCCAATCCAAGTCGATCCAATATATTAATTCCCCTCTACCTACTTGGGTTTTTCCCTAATCATAGCCTAAAAATTTCTAAACCTAAGACCCATTAACCCATCAACTAAATCTAAGAAACAATTTAGTCACATCTCATCAACAAATTTTTATCTTTGTAGAGCTTCATATCTCATTGCAAAAAAAAAAATAATTATTTTAAAGTTTACTAATGCTTTTGTATTTCAAAAAAATAAAATTTACAAAGTCACTATATACAAAAGATGTTATTTGCACAATAATCACGAAATAAATTTTAGGATTTTCAGAAAACCAAAAACCGATCCAATCCAAACCGAAAAAAATTGTATTGGATCGGATTGGATTTGAAAAAAAATCAAAACTGAATGGATGATTATATGATCAAACTGAAGGGATTGAATCAGATGATTTTTGCTTCCAAAACCGATCCAATCCAGATCGCGCACACCCCTAATTACATCAACATAATCGGTATAACAGTGAAACAAACTTGTAGAAATACTTATTAGTAGCAACAATATCGTATCTCTTAAAATCCATAAAAAATAAAAAATAAAAATAGTTGTTACTTTTTAACATTATCTAGCGCGAGCGAGGCCTGTGCGGGTACCCCGTCAACACACTCTTTCTGCCTATGCGTTTCTCTGTCTCTCTTTGTTCTTTCAGAAAATCTTAATATCTGGTAGAAGCCGGGAAAGAAAGAAAGAGCATGGAGATAACAACAACCTCTCTCTCAGTCTCAGTTTCCTTGAGGAGTTATCACGTTAAAGAATGTTATAAAAGTATAAAACCATTCTAGCTTGCCACTTACCATCACTGTTAAAGATGATGTAACCATAAGTTATACGATATATTTTTCTAATTTTTTTTTATATAATAAAATATGTGGGAAAATTATACTGTTAACATTAAAACAGGTTCTACAAGGCACACTTGTAAGGATTTCTTGTAATTGATTTAGTTGTTTATGACATGGTTTTAATTTATAGTCTATCTAACTACTGCTCAATCTACTTTCAATTCATTCAAGTTGGTTTGTATTTTCATTAAGAAATGTTACACTCCAAATCTATTGCAAATTCTTTGTTGAAATGGAATTTCATGAATATCATGTTTGGTGGAAATGTTTGTTAAACCTTGAGAATGTATCACTCATGGTTGTGGCAGATCTAATTATTTACAAAGAACTACATTTTCCTGTATCTTTTTATCATCCTTTCTTATCTGCAATACAGTATGTAGTAACTTGTGTTGGGAGTTCAAGCTTGAAGACAGATGAATATTGAAACATGATTGTTGAAGGTTGGAAAATCAGAGATGATAATTAACAAATCAAGCTTCCTCACTGGTTGTTAGTCCAGCAATTTCTTTTAGTGGCTTCCACATAAACTTTCTCCTGATCATTGACATAAACATCAGAATCATATCTAAAAAGCAGCAAGTGAAGCAATGTAAAGGAGCAAATGTAAAGTTAGGCAAATTCAAGTCCTCAAACACCAAATTTACAGCTGAAAGGATTGGCAATTTCTAGAAACAAGCAACAAAATGATTAAGTTATAAAATCTATCAAATAATAATAATAATAATAACAGCAACAAAAGGTTCAGAAAAATGGGTACCCTACCAGTTTCCACATTCAGCAATGACCCTCACATTAGGCCTAAGTGTAGGTAGCAAAGCAAGGAATTGCAATTCTGCCTTAGAGAGAACCTGCAAAAGCCAAAACAACATTTAATTATGGGAAATCATAATATGCTTTTTCTGTTTAAATATAATATAGAGGTATTTTAATATAAAATACAAGTAATGTTATAATCCACACCTTGGCTTCAAGTATCCACACCACCAATCCTTTGGCATTTGGTGGCAATGCTTCTAATCTGTAATCAACTTCTGGTGGGAAATACCACCTTGCTATTGGCTGCTTGCCAAGATGAGCCTGAGATTCATGAAACAAAATACATGTATAAACTTGAGCAAACAGAAATCATAATGAACAAAAAAAAAAACAAAAAAAACACACTATCCAAGAGTTGTTGGTCTAATAGTGTGACCAGTTAGACCTCAGGATTTAACCTGCTCAAAGGATGGTGAGTTTGATTCCTAAGAGGCACAACTATTGGGAAGGATGGAAAGACTCAAACTCAAAACCGGATTAGTCAAACCCATTAGGTTAGGATATAGAACATCGACACCGGGGATATCTACATAAGAAACAAAAACAAATAGCTATATTAAGAGTCTCTTAAGAAATAAAAAGTAAAACTCACAGGGCAAACAGGGTGAATCTTGGTGAGTGTAGTTTCAGGATCACCAAGGCCACGAGCTGAAAGGTCAAGGAAGTAGTAACCCTGACGTTGGAGGCGTGATAAGTAGCGTCCTTCATAGCCACCTTCATGGGGAGTGTATATAGCAAGTGCTTTGTGTTCTTCAACATCAGAAAGCCAACGTCCAAGATCAAATCTTATCAAGTCTCCTCCTATGAAGTCTCCTATACCAATTCCACCACACCTTACAACCCCTACTACCCTTTTGCTTGTGTTACCATGTCTTCTACTCCTACAACCCATCATCAACCCCACAGTTTTATGTTGCTGTTTAGATATGAAGCTGTTCCTTATTGGTTGCTGCTGAACATTGAAGCAGGTTGGTCCCCCATAACCCAAGCTAGCACTGGCTGACATTTTTCTGCTGATTCTTTTTTCAGTGCTAAAGATATAATGTTTGCTCACAAAAATGTGAGAGCTTATTGGAGAATAAGGTTCATGTTTTTTATTTTTTTTTCAGTTAGTTGAAAGATAGAAAATAATAACTAGGACTAGATAGAAGTTTGTGGCAAATTAGTTAGAAGTAGAATGAACGTATGGTGTAGAAATGAGATAAAGTGATAACTGAGAAGGGGTTTTGTCTTCAGTTGTAACCTTTAATTAGAGATGGCTACATGTGGTGGGTATTGACTTTTTTTGTTTTATTTGTTTATAATTGGGAGTTCCATTGAGTCCTTTCTCATCGAGAAGTTCCTTTGGTTTTTGTGAGGCTAATTGAATAATTAGGTGATTTCTTCTTCCCTTTCAAAACAAGTTTTATAAATCTTGATTTCAGCATCTTTTAATTTGCATGCTTTGTGTGAACAAATTTAAGATGGTTAAGGGGACAAGAATATATAACATGTTAGATAGAATAAGCAAAAGAAAGCTGAAGTAGAACCCGCTGCTAGCACCATAGGAACAACATCAAAAGTTTTGAACATGATTAGATATAACTGATCATATTATTTAATCATAACTACTTATTTAAAATTTATATATTTTTTTCTCTCTTATCTCGTCAATAAGTGAAAATAAATGATTCAATCAAATAACATAATCACATGATCACTTTTTCACACGAGAGGATCCAAATCCCCACTAGAGTGGTCCCTTAGTAGAAATGTAAAAAAATTTCTTTCATTTTACTCCTTTTTTTAATTTATATTTCCATCAATCTCCCAATTTTTTTAAAAGGAACCACTCAATTATTGATTTCCTGTACCACTGAAATTTTTTTCAACAACAAGCTCCTCTAACCTATTTTCAAATGCTCTTGTGGAAAACAAGCTGACTGGGCTCAAAAGCATATTTTTAAATATTAGACAATATTTTGGGATGCAAAAGGAAAATATAATCAAGAAAAGCTCTCACGAATGTCAACAAACTAGAACGGCATAACTCCATGAGCCACCACCACGAAGCACCACCGTCCCTCCACCTCGCCACAGATCCAGCCACCACGCACGGCGGCGATATCTCACATGTCACTACCACAGTGCTGCTGCGGACAAATCGTGTTGCGTCGCCATCACAAGCCACAGATCCCGCCAGCCACCACACTTACCCGCGCCGCTCATCGTCTCCGTCGCGAACCACCACCGTTATGCGGTGCTGCAAATTGAGCAACTCTCTTTTCCATTTTTCTCTGTGATTTAAAGTTTTAATTTTACAGAACAGTAATGGCAGGAGCTTGCGTCCTTAACCCCACTTTTTAATTTTTTTATGGGTTTTATAAGAGGTATGTTGTAAAAAAGTGATTGTGTAACGTTATAGAGATTCGTTTTGCGTGCCTTAATTTTTTATTTATTTTTTTGTTTTAAAAAGTGTGGGTCCCACAAAATGTTGTGAGGGTAGGAAAGTTTGTTGTGTTATGTTAAAGGATAAAACTAAAACCCTTTTTTTTTTTTAACAAACTGCCTGTGAGGAGTATTACTGGGTTGTGGAGTGGGGGAGAGATTCATTGCCCAACTTGCATGGTGGGGCATGAAACCTTGATGCATGTGCTGAGAGATTGTCTGGTTGCTAAAAGAATTTGGGAGATTTGGTTTAAGGGCAATATCCCTAGGACATTCCTTCAAACTGATGATCTGGAGTGGTTCAGGTTGAATTTAGGCACAAGCTTCTCTTCTCATCTTTGGCAATCATGGTCTGAAATTTTTGTTGTTACTTGCTGGTCCATTTGGCAGTGGAGGAATGCTTCCATCCATGAGGTTCTGTTTGTTAGACCTCAAGATCCAGTTTATAGGATTCTTTGCTATTTGAAGGAGATGAAGATGAGTAAAAGAGTGGAACCTGCTGCTGTTGATTGTAATCATTCTGTAATTCTGAGTGGGACTGGGCAGCATGCTTATAATAGCAAGGTGAAAATTTTCGTAGATGGGGCTGTTTGCCTAGCTAATCAGAAAAGTGCTTGTGGTGGTTTTGCCTGCTCAACTAGTGGTGACTGGCTTCGTGGTTTCTCCTACACTATAGGAAAATCTTCTCCTTTGGAATCTGAGCTAATAGGCATTCTTCATGGTCTGAAGCTGGCAGCAGATTTAAAGCTATCCAATGTTTGGATGGGAAGTGATTGCCAAGAAGCAATATTGTGCCTTAGGGAGGAATCTGAAGCATACAGGTTCTCTTCCTTGTTAGGTGAAATCAGGAAAAGTGCTGCTGCTTTCAAGCATGTCTAGGTTGATTTTTTATCTAGAGATTGTAATGGTGTAGCTGATCTTTTAGCCAAGTCAGGTTTGTATTACAGGGGTGATGAGGCAAGGATGTTTGCTTCACCTCCTGGTAGTATAGTGGATGTGTGGAATACTTTCAGTGTGAACTTGATGTTAGAGCATGTGAACTCTAACATGCATCATCTGTCTTTGTAGTTGTGCTGGGCTAGGCCCTCCATTTATACAAAAAAAAAAAAAAACCTTTTTTTATTTAATTACTTTTTATTTTTCTGAATGCTTATTGCTGAAGCTGAACTATTGAATATAATTTATTTTTAATTTGGATAAATACTCTTACAAATTCAGAATAGGTTAGGAGAAAATTATTTAGATTTAGTTTTTTTAATATTCTTTTATTTGTTTGGGAGCTAATTGTAATTTGGTTTAATATTCTTTTTTTAATATTCTATAATGTGTGTTGCTAATTTTTTTACCTTCTCTTCTTCGTATTTCCACTTTCTCTCTCTTTTTAGTTTTGTAGAGGAGAAACCCTCCAGAATATAGTAATTTTATTAAAAATGACACAAATTTATGTAATTTAAAATGAGAAAAGGATATTGTAACAACCAAGTTGTGTTACTACCAAGTTATTACCAATCAATCTCACCGTTAGATCGATTATGTTGATCCAACGGTTATATTTATTTCTATCTTTGTATAGTCATGATTTCTTAAATTTAATACTTTATATTTATTTTCACCTTTGTATGGTTATGATTTTTCATATTTAAATCGATCTAACGTTGAGATTGATTGGTAGTAATATGATAGTAACACAACTTGATTGGTACAATATCCTTCCTCTTTAAAATGATAGGTACTTTTTCCAATTTTATTCTAATTATTATTTTTCATGTGTTTATTTTCGTTATAGATCTTTAAATAATAAAATTATATTTGCAGCTAATATTTTTCAAACTAAAATTTATCAACTCTCAAACATATTTTAAAGAACTATGTAATTTTGAAATTTTGTTTTAATAAGAGATACGATGATATTAAAATTTTCTCCTTAAGTTAGAATGAAATTTGTATAATTTTATTTTGTTTATAAATAATCATTTTTTCATTTTATTTTTTATGTCTTTGAAGTAAGTAACTAATTTTAATGTTTAATGATAACTTTTACCGTAATTATTTTTATTGAGTATATTAGGTATAACACCCCACGTAATAAAATTTATCCTGCTTACAAAAAAAATATAAAAAATTATCCTTATATCGTAGAGGTATAGTAAAAATAAATAATAGATATTATAATTGGTCATACAGACCATTACTAGTTGGAGAAATTATTCATACTAATAGTGTTAAAGGAAAAAAAATTCGTAAATAATAACAATAAATAAATAAAATAAAATATTGTAATAACAATTTAAACTAAAAGAAAGAGAATGGAGCAAGGGATTTTTCTAATGTGCTCAAGAGCACAACACAATTTCATGGTCCTTTATTAAAAAAGGAAAATTTTCTTTCATTTATATCCTTTTCTTTTTTCAAAATTTCATCTCAATCTTTTTTATCTTCCTATTTTTAGAAAGGGAGTACAACTCCCGGAGCAAAAGGCATCGTTTTTCTCGTTACCAAACTTTTGAAATTTTCTTTTCGCCTTTCCTGACCTACCCCTTCATATATCCCTTCCCCTGCCCCCATCGAGAAATAGAACTGACTAATCCTAAGGCAAAGGGCCGAGAAACTCAACGCCATTCTTCTTAAACAACTTGGAGTCGGACCTTCTTTTCACACTATTACGGATATGAAAATAATGGAAAAAACAGGATTCAATTGTCAACTACTCCTATCGGAAATAGGATTGACTACGGATTCGAGCAATAGCACATGATTTCATAAAAACGTACGATTTTCCCGATCTAAACAAAGCAGATTTTCCATAGATTTGGCTCAGCATGTTCTATTCGATACGGGTAGGAGAAGAACCCGACTCGGTATTCTTAAAAAAATAGAGAAATCAGAACCAAGTCAAGATGATACGGATCAACCCCTCTTTTTGCGTTCTTGCGCCAAAGATCTTACCATTTCCGAAGTAACTGGAGTTACATCTATTTTTCTATTTCCATGCAAGAGTTCTTATGTGTTTCCACCCCCCCCTTCGAGACCCCGAAAAATGGACAAATTCCTTTTCTTAGGAACACATACAAGATTCGTCACCACAAAAAACATGAAAAGATTTTCTCTCTCTCTCATTTCTCTTCCTAAATGTGAGATATTTGCAATGGCAAACCATCACCTTTTCACCATCTGATTCCATTTCCGTTTCCCTCCTTTTCCATCCATGGGTTTATGCCCAACAAGCATCATTTCATCCTTTTACCACTACACTGCTTGTTTAAAGCATACAATCTCTTTTTCAATCGGTAGACCAAATCTTCTTTTTTTGGATCTTGGAATCCTTCAGGTTGTTTCATATATATTTCTTCTAAGGTCATCGTGAAGGAATGTGGTCTTCACATTTATTTGTTTAACTTCGAGATCCATTGAGGCTGCCATAACTAATATAGTTAGAACCGAAGTCATATTCACAACATGAGAGAAAATTTCTTCAAAATTCCTTTATTTTGATTATAGCTTTTCACTACAATTTTGACCTTGTATCTCGACTTCTGGTTATTCTCTTCATGCTTAATCTTATAAACCCACTTATTTTTCAGAGCTCGTCTCCCTTGAGGTATCTCGGTCAACTCATATGTTTGATTTTCACGTAAGGACTCCATCTCGTCTTGCATTGCTTTTTCCTATTGTTTCTTTTCTGAACTTGTCATGGCTTCATCATAGCTCTGAGGTTCTCCATATTTACCAATAAATGTGTACTCATCAGGCAGGTATCTTGTAGAAGGTCATCGCACTCGTGAAGAGTATCTGGGTTGTACTTTAGGTAGAGAGTCCACTTGTCATTCTCATCTCAAGATGACTTGCATCAACTCGTCTTTCTTCATCACCTTCAGTAGGTGGTTCTTGTTGTTGCTTGTCACTTTTATAATTTTCCTGATTATTTTCTCCCCCTACTTCAGCTCAAACATAAAGGACGAGTTCTTCACGTAGAACAACTATCCGGACTTTGGGCTATGAGATGTCTTTGATTGTCTCATCCTCAAGGAAGACTACATACCAATTTCTCACTACTTTTCTTTTTACAGGATCCCAAAGTCTGAATCTGAACTCACACATCGTCAAACCGAGGTATATACATTCTTTTATCTTCGTATCAAGCTTTACCCTTTCATCTTTGGGGATATGCACGAAAGCTCGGCATCAAACACTTTCAAATGATCATTGGACTCTTTCTATCCTGACCATACTTCTTCGGGAATTTCTCATTCTAGTTGTCGTGATGATGATAGATTTGTTAAGTCAACTGCAGTTCAAACTGCTTCACCCCAGAATGATTTCGATAACTCGGCATGGGTTAGCATACTTTTGACCATTTCTTCAATAGTCTGGTTCATCTTTTCAACAACTCCATTTAGCTAAAGAGTTTTTGGGGGCGTCTTTTCCAGTCTTATCACGACCTCTCTACAATAAGCATCAAACAGACCACATTATTCACCATCATTATCAGAACGGACCACATTCAGCTTCTTTCTAGTCTCCTTTTCCACCATAGCATGAAGTTCTTTAAAGGCTTGGAGTACCTGGTCTTTAGACTTCAACAAATACATCCACATTTTGCGGGAATGATCATTAATAAAAGATACAAAATGTTGAGCTCCTCCAAGTGATTTTTCCGACATTGAGCAAACATTAGTGTGGACAAGGTCAAGAATATACCTGTGTCGTCTAGGTTGATCCGGTCTCACAAAAGAAACCGGGTGCTGCTTTTCAGCTAGGCAGTGCATGCAACTCTCTAGCACTTGACCCTTCAACCTAGTCAAGAATTATTTCTTGTTCAAAATTTGGATTACTTTCTCACTCATGTGGCTGAGATGCTTGTGCCACAACGTCATGCTAGGTCCATCCCGGACTAAGTTAGCTTCTCCACCATTTATTTTTTCTTGTATTGTATACAAGAAGCCTTCTTTCTTCCCTCAGGCAACCATTAAGTTTCCCCTAGTTAACTTCCATCTTCTGCCTTCAAAGTAATTCACAAAACTGACATCATCAAAATTTTCTACCGAGATCAGGTTCAAACGCATGTCTGGCACATGCCTTACTTCCTTCAACACAAGTCGGCAGCCGACGTCCGTGGTTAGAGTTACATCACTGACTCCAACAATTTTGGTTGTAACTTGATTTCCCATTTTTACCACTCCGAAGTCATCGCTTCTGTAAGAAGAGAAGAAGCCTTTATGTGGAGTAACATGGAAGGAGGCACTAGAGTCAATAATCTAGGAGTAATCATCTTAGGCAACATTCAAAAAATTATCTTCACCAAGGAGGAAGATCTCGGCATCAGTGTTCGCGGTCACCGCAGTGGTGCTCTTGTCTTCTTTCTTCTTAGGCTCGATTTTATCCACCTTCACATTGCCACTCTTTTAATCTTTCTTTAAAGTTCGACAGTTAAGCTTCTTGTGGTTAGGCTTCCCACAATAGAAGAAAATCAATTCATACTTTAGCCTAGACCGGCCTCTGAACTTGTTACGACCCCAACACTTGCTATAACCCTGGAAGTCGGATTTTCTTTGATTCTCAGCAACGTTTGCCTCGGACGTGCTAGATACGCTGCGTTCTGTTCTCGTAAATTTTTTGTTCTGGAGACTGTCAGTCACTACATCCATTGTTAACTTTCCATCATGAGGCGAATTGCTCAAAGTCACCATCGGGGTGTCCCAACTTTCTGGTATCGGAATTAAAAAGAGGGGAGCTTGCATCTCGCTATCAATCTTCATCTCAGCTTTAGAAAGCTAATTCACAATGCCTTTGTGAGTGTTAAGGTGTTCAATCATACTCATGTCGTACTTGTATTCGAGCTTTATTGATTAATGATTAATAAATAATGATTAAGTAGACAT